GCTCCTGCAGGAAATGACCCCTGACTGTGAGGGTCCTGGCATGAGCAACTGGACCCTTGGAGTAAACAAACCAGGGAGTGCCATAGATGTGGGTTCTAGTGCCCACCCGTAGCAGTGTTTTGGAAAGGAATGGCCGTGGGGGACTTCTGATTCACTTCTGAGCATCATTTGGCTTGGTACAATCATACGGCCCGCTGGCTAAGGTGGGAAGAAGGCCTTCTGTTTGGTGTAGTGGTGAAGTGCGCGGACTCTAATCTGGGAGAACCAGGTTTGATTCCCCACTCCTCCACTTGCACCTGGCTGGATGACCTTGGGCAAGCCACAGTTCTGATAAGAGCTGTTCTTGAAAAAGAGCAGTTTCTGTCAAGAGCTCTCTCAGCCCCACCTACCTCACAGGCTGTCTGTTGTGGGGAGGGGAAGGGAAAGGAGTTTGTCAGCCACTCTGAGACACCTCTGTGTAGTGAAGGGCGGGGTACAAATCCAATCTCTTCTTCTTCTTCTAAAATACAAATCTGCCTTAAATATACTAGTAAAATATACACTATTGAATATATCAGCTACTCGGTCTCAATAAATTTGAGCTGAACATTTAAATTTATGACTTGCATTTAAACATAAATACTTCTGTGGCTGCTATGGTATTGTCTATGTGAACACGTACAAGTTGAATGGCAGTACTACTAACGATAGCAATAGTCATAAGCCACACTTCACTTATAAAGCATCCAGTTCTGATGGCATTTTGAAGGACTCATAAAATGAGAATAAAAAAATTATAAATAGTAAGAATCCCTGTACATAAAGGTAAAAGAAGCTTAAAAATGCAATAAAATGCATTTTAAAATTCTTAAGCAGCAAGCAATAAAGTGCATTAAAAATTCTTAAGAAACAGGCAAGTTAACAGTTGGGTGATAGACATTCGACTCTTCAATAGTCTTTGTAAATGTTGCATTGTGGACATGGCAAATTTCTGTTATACTGTGATTTTTAATTCTTAAATTGCATTTTCCTTTTACAGTGTATGGCCTATGGGCTGTTAAATAAAATGGAACTGGCTTAATCTTTACAACTATCTTGCAACGTGTGTTAGCCTGAAAATTTGACTGGCTAAAAGGCATCCCGAGAGCTTCCAGGCCTACTGTGGATTTCAACCCAGATCCACCAGGCCATGCACCTTGGAATTTAGTCATGACGGCCACATGACTACAAAGACGTCTTCGGACAGCGCTGGCTCTTCAGCTTGGAAACGGAGATGAGCACCGCCCCCTAGAGTCGGATTCGACTCGCTTTCGAGCAAGGGAAACCTTTTACCACCAAGCCAAAACCCAACACTCTGGCTCTTGAACTTAACTGACCCACATCATGAATGAGGGCAAAAGGGGCGAATCTCAAGCATCTGGAAGAGGGTTTCTTATTTAGAATTTTATATAAAATCGCCACGCTTAACTTTTGACACATTGAATGACGTCCAACTCATTTAAAAAACTCACACCACAAGCATACCTGGTACAAATAATAATATCTTTAATGAGCTGTGACTCTTCCTTAGCTGAGTTTTGTTCTCTCTGATTCAGAAAGAAACACTTAATCTAGGGCTGCCGACTGCCTGGAGGAAAATTTTATGTTTTCCCTTCAACAGAGGCATTATGGGATGTTATTTATCTCTTCAGGTACCCATTTCCACACATGAAGCTTCTGGGAATGAGGCAGGATATTTCCCCCTTCAGGCCTGTTACCAACCCTAATACCTCTTCAAAGTAAGGTAGGGATATGGGAAAGAGAATTTTGCCGCATGACGGAGTGAGCTCCCGTCTCTAGTTCCAGCTCCTGCCAACCTAGCAGTTCGAAAGCAAGAAATTGCAAGTAGATAAAGAGCTACCACTTCGGTGGGAAGGCAATAGCGTTCCGTGCGCCTTGGTGTTTAGTCATGCCGGCCATATGACCACGGAAACGTCTTCGGACAGCGCTGGCTCTTCGGCTTGGAAGCTTATGCAACCCCTGTTTTTATTGTTTATTTATTTATTTATTAAATTTGTATCCCACCCTTCCAACATGGGCTCAGGGCGGCGAACATAGAGGCAAATGTCATACATAAAACAATAAAAGAATAAACAATCATTACCTATAAAACAGTTAAAAGTCGGTGCTCAACAGACCATATCAATTCCATAATAAAAGGCCAATAACAATAACACACTCCGAGTAAACACAATTGTCTCTGCTCAATTGATGTTACACTATAACTGTCATCCCCATACCAGGGCCGGTGCGCCTCATGATGTTAATACGGTGGTACTACAATGGCGGTGGCAGCCCCTACTCGAAAGCCTGGTGGAAGAGCTCCGTCTTACAGGCCCTGCGGAACTGCATAAGGTCCCGCAGGGCCCTGATCTCCTCCGGGAGCTCGTTCCACCAGGTAGGGGCTGCCACTGAAAAAGCCCTGGCCCTGGTTGCAGCATATTTAACTACCTTGGAGGCTGGGATAACCAACAGATGTTGCTCCCCTGACCGTAGTGCCCTTGGGGGAACATATGGGGAACGGCGGTCCCTCAGGTAAGCCAAAGATGATGTGTTATCAGGCTGGTAGAAATCCGAGGGGGTTGGAAGAATCTGATTGGATTAGAGAGGTGGTCAGACATGCCCCCAAGGGTATAAAGGTGGAGGGAGAATCCAACAGAGGTCAGGCTGGGAGGATTATACCCTCTCTCCCTAACTTCTCTTTTGCAGGTATTCCTTAAGGAAGGCTGGGTGAAGGTGAGACCTTCTCCTACCACATGATCGCTGGGATTGGTGAGATATATACTGTTTGCTATGCTGCTATATTGTTTTTATGTTACTTGTGCTTCCTGCTGTCTTAAATAAAGCAACGGTTCACAAATAATTTTGCAGATCTCAGTACCGTTTCAACCAGAATTGTTTTTATTGAACTGTACACGAGAGAACTTTGACAAAAATCAAAGATACTTTATAATCCATGTAGTAACTGAAGCTAGAATTTAATCTGCAATTTACTGGAAACTTCCATCAACGCCTTCTGAACATAACCTAATAGCGAAGATTATGGAAAGTGTGGAAATGGACAAGTTGACCTCAATGTTAAAAGGGCAAACGGAAGAAGACTTTGCTGGACTAAGGACTCCATTATATAATTGGATAAGAGAGAGAAATACAAAGACATTAATTTCTGAATACTTCAATATTAAGAAGATGTATTTGTATATAACAGGAAACGATGAGTAGAGGAAATTTACATGCAGAAAATTATTACTTATTTCCCCCCCTACCCCTTCCCCTTTCCTTATCCTGTATATCTAAAAACCTTAATAAAAATCTATTTAAAAAAACACAAAAGATCCCCTCTTGCAAGCAAGACAAAACACAGGTTAACAACATGGATAGTGGTCCATTTCCACAATACTGGGTGTTGTGAGGGAGGAAATGGGAGGGGGTTCACCCCTTACAGCTTACCGAGTTGTTGTGTTAGGGGACATCTCTTCCTTTCAGCCTAAATTAATACTACTGCCAGAATGCTTTTGCTTTCAAACTGCCGATACCCCCCAAAAAAAGGTCACAGCAGGCTGGACGGGGGAGGGATTCGGGTTCAGAAACGCCTCTCTAGAATTGCTTGACAGATAAAAATGTTTGTGAATTAAGGATACTGGCTGGTCAGACTACGGTTATGCCAACAGAAGAGAGGCTGTAGATATCAGTTACCCTCAACTTGTATATTCCTTCATAGGATTTGGTAAAGGAACTGCTTTCCCCAGTTTTGAAGATGTCGGAGTTAGGCTGCAAGTAGCAACCTTCACAGAGAAGGGCAAAAACTAAAAAAGACCCTCCTTTGTGTAACTACGTCCTCAGCCTTTCTGAACCTCATCAGAACCAGCTATAGGAAAGTTTCACCCTTGTATGGATTCTCTGAGGAACATGAAAGTCAGATCTGTGCCTCAGGCTCTGGCCACACACTGAGCATTGATGAGGTTCGTCCCCTGGGGGGACTCCTCAATGCTAAAGAAGAGATCAGCTGATCCTTTGACCGGCAGAGCCTATTACCCACCCTTGAAGTGCCTTCTGTCGTGGTGCCCAGTGCCCCCGAGGAGTCTACTTGGCCTCAGAATAGGGGGAGGGGTCTTCTCACAACCATGTCCTCTTTCCCTACTTCAACCAATGTGCTGCCCTCTTGGCTCTCCATTACTGGCTGTCATCCCCGGCCTGCTGCCGGAATTCCCCTCTTATCCCTCCCTGCTTTCCTTTCTGAACCGCCCCTCCTCTGTCCTTCTATTGGTTTCTGCCCCTGTCCTTCATGGCCATGCCTGGGCTTGGGGCAGACCATTCTCTTGGAACCCAAAGGACCCCACCCACAGACTCTCCCAGCCCTCAGTATGGTACTCACCTGGAACCCAGCAGGGTGGAGTTCTCCACCCCCGCACTTCCACCTTCTCTGTCAGACCCTGTGGGACCCAGCTGGACAATATAGCTTGGGGAGTACCTCTCTGAGGTAAAGGGGTGTGCTTTAGCACCAGGGCCTGGTGTCTCCCAGGATTCTGGCTCCACCCTGGCTTTCCGCAGCCTCCCGCTGGTCTCCCCTGCTTGCTGCCTCTCGGCTCAGCTGCCACTGAAGTTTGTCCTCAGCTATTCCGTGGCCTGTGCCATTGCCTGCTCCCTTTGCCCTCATTTGGCCATCCGGGACGATAGCCACCGCTGCTGTAAGGGAGGTGGATGGGCTGATGACATGTCAGCGAGCTTGGTGGGATAGGGTTGGCCACCTTCGCTGGGGTCGCGTTCCCATGCCATGAGAGCCTATCAGGGTCAGACAATGCAAGGCCTGGACACAGAGCATTCAAAAGATTTCTCCCCTCTGTGTGTTCTCTGATTCTGTGGAAGACTGACTGAATCTCTTTCCACACCCTGAGCATTCAAAAGGTTTCTCCCCTGCGTGTATTCTCTGATGCCGTTGAAGATTGACACTCTGACTGAATCTCTTTCCAAACTCTGAGCATTCAAAAAGGTTTCTCCCCTGTGTGGAGTCTCCGATGCCGTTGAAGATGGCCATTCTGACTGAATCTCTTTCCGCATTCTGAGCATTCAAAAGGTTTCTCCCCTGAGTGGGTTTTTTGATGCTGCTGAAGATGGCTACTCTGATTAAAACTCTTTCTACACTCTGGGCATTCAAAAGGTTTCTCCCCTCTGTGTGTTCTCTGATGCTGTTGAAGGTTGACACTCTGACTGAATCTCTTTCCACACCCTGAGCATTCAAAAGGTTTCTCCCCTGTGTGGGTTCTGTGATGCCTTTGAAGAGAGCCACTCTCACTGAATCTCTTTCCACACTGTGAGCATTCAAAAGGTTTCTCCCCTGTGTGGATTCTCTGATGCCGTTGAAGATGGCCACTCTGACTGAAACTTTTTCCACACTCTGAGCATTCAAAAGGTTTCTCTCCCGTGTGAGTTCTCTGATGGTACTGAAGATCGCTGCTAAGACTGAATCTCTTTCCACAGTCAAAGCATTCAAAAGGTTTCTCCTCTGTGTGGGTTCTTTGATGATATTGAAGATGGCCACTCTGACTGAACCTCTTTCCACACTCTGAGCATTCAAAAGGTTTCTCCCCTGTGTGGGTTCTCTGATGCTGCTGAAGATTGCCACTCCTACTGAATCTCTTTCCACACTCTGAGCATTCAAAAGGTTTCTCCCCTGTGTGGGTTCTCTGATGCTGCTGAAGATGGCTACTGCGACTGAACCTCTTTCCACACTCTGAGCATTCAAAAGGTTTCTCCCCTGTGTGGGTTCTCTGATGATATTGAAGACTGCCACTGTGACTGAATCTCTTTCCACACTCTGAGCATTCAAATGTTTTCTCCCCTGTGTGGGTTCTTTGATGATATTGAAGACTGTCACTCATACTGAATCTCTTCCCACACACTGAGCATTCAAAAAGTTTCTTCCCTGTGTGGGTTCTTTGGTGCTTCTGCAGAGTACCACTCATCTTGAATCTCTTTCCACACTCTAAGCATTCAAAAGGTTTCTCCTCTGTGTTGATGACGCTGAAGAAGGCCACTGCTACTGAATCTCTTTCCACACTCTGAGCATTCAAAAGGTTTCTCCCCGGTGTGGGTTCTTTGATGACTCTGAAGAAGGCCACTGCTACTGAACCTCTTTCCACACTCTGCGCATTCAAAAGGTTTCTCTCCTGTGTGCGTTCTTTGATGACGCTGAAGAAGGCCACTGCTACTGAATCTCTTACCACACTCTGCACATTCAAAAGGCTTCTCTCCTGTGTGGGTTCTCTGATGCTGCTGAAGATTGCCACTCCTACTGAATCTCTTTCCACACGCTGAGCATTCAAAAGGTCTCTCCCCCGTGTGGGTTCTTTGATGACTCTGAAGAAGGCCACTGCTACTGAATCTCTTTCCACACTCTGAGCATTCAAACGGTTTCTCCTCTGTGTGGGTGTTTTGATGATATTGAAGATGCCCACGCTGACTGAATCTCTTTCCACACTCTGAGCATTCGAAAGGTCTCTCCCCCGTGTGGGTTCTTTGATGACTCTGAAGAGGGCCACTGCTACTGAATCTCTTACCACACTCTGCACATTCAAAAGGTTTCTCTCCTGTGTGGGTTCTCTGATGCTGTTGAAGATGGCCACTGGTACTGAATCTCTTTCCACACTCTGAACTTTCAAAAGGTTTCTCTCCTGTGTGGGTTCTCTGATGCTGTTGAAGATGGCCACTGGTACTGAATCTCTTTCCACACTCTGAACTTTCAAAAGGTTTCTCTCCTGTGTGGGTTCTCTGATGCTGTTGAAGATGGCCACTGGTACTGAATCTCTTTCCACACTCTGAGCATCCAAAATGTCTCTTGCCTCTATGTATTGTTTGGTACACAAGGAGCTGTGATCTGTTTCTGAAGTACTTTTTGCATTTAATGGATTTACTTGCCTTCATTATCCTCTGTTTTGCAAAATGTACATTTTGCTGTCTTCCATCTCTTTTATCAATCGTATTGCTGCCTTTCTTTCTCTTACATCTCTCTTGATTCCTGTTTTTTTTCAAGTCTTCATTTTTAACTCTATCTGCTATTTGCAGATGAAGTTCCACACCTTCCTCATTTCTCTGATCATCCTCTGCTGGAATAAACAGAGAGATCCTGTTAGCATCTGGGAGGACTGGTAAGGTCCAAAGGCATATTACGTGACTGCAGGAGGAAAACATTTATGGTCCTTTGGCCTCGTCCAGCGTGGCTGATTTTAACAATTTCTCGACTTTTCTCAAAAATATGTAGTATTTAAGGATACTTTACCCCCTCAAGAGCTGAGCTCTTGCCCAAAAGGAGTTTCTTAGACTCCAAATTTCATGCCCCCAGGAGGCCTTCCTCCCTCCTTACCCCAGCCGGCTACATGATTGTACCAAACCAAATGTTGCTCAGAAGAGAAGCAGAAATCCCACATGGCCATTCCTTGCCTGTTCCCTTGAAATAACCGTGAAGGATACTCACTCTCAGCCCACTCATTTGGGAAGGAAATATGGTCTTGGGATCCTCTTGAGGAACTCTCCAGCCTTTCTTCGAGTGGAAGGCTGTTGTCTGTCTGCACCACAGTCTCTTTAATACTTCTGCCTTCTTTCAGAGAAAGAGAGAGAGAGAGAGAGAGAGAAAGAAAGTGATCATTCTTATATGGAGAAGGAAAGAAATTCAAAAGTAAAAATTCTTCTGGAAGGATGGAACTATAGTCAAGATCAAAGCCCACAATCCCAATCAGTATAAGGGGAATGGAACTCTGGAGGCATAGCACACTAGTTTCACCAAGGGTTAACATTATTGCCTGGTCGGACTTGCAGGTGTTTGTTATTTGAGTCTTCCTGCAGCTAACTTCTTTACCTTTTTGAAAGCCAAAGAAAATTATGTCAAGGAGGACCCTTGATTGGGTCTTTAGAACCACGACCATAGAGAGTCCAAAAGTATAATACAGTATAATATAGTATAATACAGTATAATCTCCCTATATTATAAAGGCCATTTGGTGGTGGCACTTCTCTAGAAGATTCCACATGCTCCGGAATTGGTTGGCAGCCTAGTGTGTCCCTCACACGGCGTCTCTCTCCATTGGCTGTGTTGCTGCCTATGTGGCTGTGGTCCCGCCCACAGAGGTGGCGACCAGACTTTTGCCCTCACTTTCCTTCGAGTCGCCAGATGGGCCAGGTGCTCCAGTGGTCAGGGGCCTTTGCTTGGCCTGCAGGCGCACTGCTGCCAGCCAAGAGGACGGCCAGGCCGACATGCACTGTCTCCGTCCGGCTGCCTGGAAAGGTGCTGGAAGTGGCCGAGCGGGGAGGCGCCAGCAGCCCGTTCCCTCGCGCCTCCCATGTGCGGTCTGGGGATGAGGGGGGACAGTGCCTGAGGCCCGGCCTGTCCTGTTGCCCCTCTGGTAAGCAGGGGGACAAGGTCACAGGCCCCGGCCCACCGGGTCGGGGTTGCTGGGAACGGACGAAGCCAAGCAGCTTGGCTTGCTGGGGTCGGCGGGGGGGGGGGGGGGAGCAGATGGCAGCCTGCGGCCACCTGGCCAAGTTGGCGCCCGTTGCAGGGAGAGGGATGAACCTGGGTGGCTTGGCCCAGCAGGACCTCGATCGGCTGAGGGTGGCGGGGGGAAGAGCACAGCAAGGCGCCTTGCCCCTCAGGGGCTCAACCGCACAGGGGCTCGACCGCACAGGGGAGGGCCGGCCAGGTTTGCCGGTGGGGGGCGGGATGGAGACGGCAGCCCACACACGGATGGCCAAGCTGCTGACTAGTATATTATAATACAGATGAGAGGGAAACCAGGCTACCTTTATGCTTATGCCAAGCTAGTATGCCTTGATATTTTCTTCCTATTTTCTTCACAATGAATAGTTTTCCGTAGAGTCACTTAGGCTACAGCTGGAATACTTATGCTGCAACAGGAGGTGACATTCAATACCAGGTATTTCATGTACTAGATAGAAGAGTTAGCTTTTCTTGGTTTTCTGTTGCTGAGGTGCAGAAACTGTGCTGTTTAGAGATGTCTTATTTTTCAAACCTTTTTATTTATATATACTGAGGTGCAGAAACTGCGCTGTTTAGAGACGTCTTAGTTTTCAAACCTTTGTATATATATTTAAAATGGGTCTGCTTGGCCTGTATGCACTCTCCTCGAGTGAACTGGGTAGTGCTCTTGGGTACAAAGAGAAGTGACCCAGAGGGACCCAGGCTTCAGTTCTTAACAGGATCGCTTCCAGATCACAGGCAGAGCACATGTTTCTAATCCCATCCAGGGGGTAGGATGTCTTGTAAAGGTTGGCAGCAGAAAAATGAGGGTCTGGCCCCTTCCAGAGTCTTTCTGAGGGCTTTCAATCCCCACCTTTGCCTCAGGCCAGGAGACACCTTCTCTGTATTCTTGATGCCTGGTGGGGAGGAGCAACAGTGGGAGGCCTTCTAGTGTCCTGGCCCCACTGGTGGACCTCCTCATGGCACCTGGTAGTTTTGGCCACGGCGTGACAGAGTGTTGGACTGGATGGGCCATTGGCCTGATTCAGCATTGGGGTCTCTTATGTTCTTATGTCTGCACTCTCCTGGTGAACCCACTGAACCAGGTAGTGCTCTCAGGTACAAAGAGTAGTGAGCCGGGGGGGGGGGGGGGCCGCGTTCTTGACACGATAACTTCCTGACCACAAGCAGAGCGGATGTTTCTAATCCCATCCAGGGGGAAGTGGTGTGAGAACGCTTGGCAGCAGCTGAACTGAGAATCTGGCCCCTTCCAGGGTCTTTCTGAGGGCCCCCCATCCCGACCTTTGCCTCAGGCCAGGACACCTTCTCAGGATGAGGTGATGGCCACAACACTGGCCTCAGTTGCCCTTGGGCGAGGACACACACATGAGCAGCACGTGAAGCGGCCTTATAGTGTATCAGACCCTCGGTCCTTCGAAGTCAGTATTGTCTACTCAGTCTGGCCACGGCTCTCCAGGGTCTCAGGCAGAGGTCTTTCACATCACCTCCTACCTGGTCCTTTTAACTGGAGATGCCGGGGAGGGAGACTTGGACCTTCTGCATGACAAGCAGATGCTCTGCCAGTGAGCCACAGTCTCCCCCCCCCCCCCCCCCCCCGCCACGGTAGCCACACCCACCTTTTGCTTCTTATTCTGTTTACCTTGTTTGTTGCCAAAACCCAGGGCTTTTTTGTAGCAGGAACTCCTTTGCATGTTAGGCCACACACCCCTAATGTAGCCAATCCTAATGAGTTCCTGCTGTTGGGTGTGGCCTATTATACTAATGAGTTCCTGCTGGGCGTGGCCAACTTGGAAGCCAGCCGGAACTCCGTTCCTGTGCGTTCCTACCCAAAAATAGCCCTGGGGACAAAACGGTATACTGCTATATTTTGAATCAGGCCTCATCCCACAGGCAGCCGATCGCACCTTTGGCACCCGTGAAAGAATCCTTACCCAGAAAGGCCACATTCCTACAGTTCTCCAGCATCACTTCCCAGTAGAGAGCTCTTTGTCCCGGATCCAGCAGGCCCCACTCTGCCTCAGTGAAATCGACAGACACCTCCTCAAAGGAAAAGGGACCCTGAACGAAAAGCAGATTCCCTCGTCAGAGATCACCCCAGGCAGAGATTGCACCCTGGAAGGGAGTAGTCTGGGAAGGGACAAGATGCATGGCCCGGGATGGGTCAAGGGAAAGGTGTTAAGAGGATCCCTTGTCTAGACACCTTGTAGAAACTGGAGGAGCAAAAGCCCCCCTGAGAAAGGAGGAGGGGCCCAGACTGTCATCCCTGCCCCCGCTCATCTCTCCTACCTGGACTGGAGGGGCCGCAGCCGTTTCCACACCTCTGCAAAGATGACGGCTCAACTGCATCTCTTCACTGCCTGTTTCTGAGAGAAAGGAGAAAGGAAGAAC